TTTTGGATAAATAATGTCAATAATTTTTGTTAAAAAACGATGACAGTCATTTTATAGAATTTGGTAATAACCGGTTTTAGCAAAACACACTCTCTCTCTGAATATTATAGTATTTATAAGATATTGTGACTTTTTTTTTTTGGAGTGTAGACAAATTTTGATACATTGAGATAATATTGTAATTGTAATATTAGTTTTCTTTGGATTATATTGTGTGTAAGATTTGTAAATATAATAAGTTTTTTAACTCTTGAGAAAAAAATACATTTATGTTGAAGAATACATTCATTGCTTTATGGTCAACGTTATTGTTTGAACAAACAGATTTAAAAGTTTTAAAAATTTAACCTTTATTTAAGTAGAAGCGTATGAACCATCGAAATAAAAGTGAAATTTTTGTAAAATTACATTTATAGGAGGATGCGAAGAAAGAAGTTATGATGTTGCATTTACAATCTTTTGAAGTTCGTCGAGAAATAAATTTAACTTTTTACCGCATTTAATAATATTGATAAGTAAATTGTAAAGTTCGGATACTTTTAACAAACATTTAAAATTTTATTGCGGCATTTATAGAATGTTTTTATCCAATACAACTGTCAGAAATGTTGTGCTTTAACGAAAATTTTATTTTGCTCAAATAAAAAGGAAAGATTTTATGAATACAGATAGAACCGCGTCACTACCAAGATATATAGTCCGCATTTTTCACGAACAGAACAAATCTAAAATATGTTAGTATTATCCGCTATTAAAACAACGAAACTTGTTGCGAAATTAGATACATTTTACATTGGTCTTTCGGTTCCCGACACTGGCCTAGGTAAATTACCTGTTCAGAGACATTTCGGAATTTTATCGTTGAAATTTAAGTGGACTGTATCTCGTCGAACATAAGCGAATCGCATATTGCATAACTTAGTATTATAATTGCTGTAAATTAGGTTTTATACAATATAATGTGTATATCTTTAAAAAAAGAAAAAAAAAGAAGAAACGGAATTACAAGAAACGAAAAATCAAATTTATTTACCAGAATATGTCTACATAAATTTCATAATCGCAGTTTGCACATTGAAACATCTACTTCAGTGTCCGTTTAAACAAAACTTGTACATCATGTTGGGCAATTTGATAAAATAAATAATTTTAAAGATTCTTCATTC